ATCTCCTTCTTTCCCTTCACACTCTCCGGATAATACTTCCTCAAAAATTCAGTGCGGAACAAATCCCAAGTTATTTCCTCATCATCAACTCCAAGAATTTGTCTTATGCCGACCCACCAGTCATCGGCTTCTTCTCTCAGCATGTGAGACCCAAGTCTCACCTTGTTCCTCTCAGCGCAATTCATAACTCTGAAGATCCTCTCGACCTCTTTCAGCCAAATCTGAGCACCGTCCGGATCAAACCTTCCTTTGAACACCGGCGGTTGATTCTTCCTAAACTCATCGTTAGCATTCACATTCGGCGCACCCTGCACCGCTCGAGCCATAGCTTCCAATGCCGCAGCCATCGCGTTGTCATTACGACCAGCCATATTCTGATTATTCCCAAAAATAACAACAGGGTCAAACAACCGTTCAACCAACAAAACAGCGAGACAGATACAACTGACTCAACACTGGGCTCTGATACCACTTAATGTAACACCCCCTTTCTATGCCCCCAAATAATACAATTAATCATTTAGGCATAAATTTAAAATTTCATCAGAGTACATTTGTAACATGGCATAAAAGGGAAATATCACATTATCATAAAAATTCCAACACATACAGCACCTGCTCAACAGATATGCAACAACGGAATAACACCCACAAGAAATATTTAGATCCAAGGCGGAAATATCCAAATATTTCGTAATTCACCAAACATGTATTCACATATACAGTTATCATTCATCATGTTTTACAAAACATAACAACAGCAGATACATACTCAGATGTATCACAAAAGAATCAAAATAAATCCTATTCTATCCGGTGCTACATATCAGAGCCGACCGACCAAAAAGGGAAGAAGCCACGCTTCACAAAAATACCTCCAGCAATCTAGTCTGCAATGCCTCATAGAGCATTAAAAGAAACAACAGAAGGATGAGAAACGATATCATAATAACAATGCATAGAAACATATATATACATAATACCCAATATACGTCTTTCGCATTCTCACCGCAACTCACCTCGTCATACCGTACATCGCAATGTATTCACATTATCTATTTACAAATAGAACATCATGCATATACAACATGCGTCAACAATGTTTATATCGGTTCATAAACACACAAAACATACATATTCATATATTCACACATACATGTGTCTTCAAGCATACCAATCATGCCAATCATCACAATTCATATAAACATTTACAATTATGTTCATTCACCATACACCATGCAGGATGTCAACATGCAACTCATAGAGACCGACACATGACTCTATGCAGATGCAAATGCGGTACCGACTCATTTCAGCAGGTTCAATTGAAGAACCAAATAACCATCGCTCACACCCCACATGGGCACACGAGGTTCTGCAGATTCTACGCGGAATCAAAATAACCATCGTTATATACGAGGTTCTGCAAATCCACCGAGGGATCAATAATTAACCATCGCTCACACCCCACAAGGGCACACGAGGTTCTGCAGATTCACCGAGGAATGAATAATTAACCATCGCTCACACCCCACAAGGGCACACGAGGTTCTGCAGATTCACCGAGGAATCAATAATTAACCATCGCTCACACCCCACAAGGGCACACGAGGTTCTGCAGATTCACCGAGGAATCAATCGACATAAGAATGCATACCATGATGCTTCACATGCAACAGGACTCATGACACTCTTGAAAATGCACACATGTTTACAAACATACTCATGCATTCTACACATTTATACAAACATCATAGATTTTTAATCAGGCTAAACAATGCACATACTTGCCCAAGCGGCCACAATTCATAATCTAGGATTCACGCCATACGGCTACCCACAGCACAACACAACCCAACATATAACTACTAAATCAAAGAAGGGTCGATCGCAACCGAAACCCCAAGCCACGACAGCACCCCGCAGCAGGGAAAATCCATCCTGCTACGTTCGCTACACGCTCGCCTAGCGAGCTGCTAGCGAGCGTTCGCTACCTCCTCGCCTAGCGAACTACTAGCGAGTGCAAACAGAACCTCCAAACATTGCTCGCTACCTCGTTCGCCACAGCGAACCCCCAGCGAGCTCTTCGCTACTCCCTTCGCTACTAGCGAAAGACCACAATACCATTCTGTCCCAAGTCTGGGACCGTTCGCTGCGCACTCGCCTAGCGAACTACCAGCGACCATTCGCGACCTGCTCGCCTAGCGAACTGCTAACGAGCGTCTGCGATTTCCACTTCTCCCCGCTGTTCAGAATCTAAAACCACCGATAAAATCACCCGATGAACTCCAACTCATATCCAGTAGCCTTAGTCTAACATATACCGACTAATCTACGCCATCTAATCACGATTCTAACCGTTAGACAACGATTTCTATCGATTAAACCAAATTCAACCTAAAATGGAAAGTGTAGAAAAACTACCAACAATCCAAAACAATCCAACAAAATCATACATGATTATACACATTGATAGAATAATAAAGTTTCACACCCTTACCCGAACAATCGAAAGCTTTGGTGATGATTTCTTGAAGTTCTAGGTTTTTCCTCTTCTTTCTCTCCTCTTTCTCTTCTCTTCCTTTCCTTCCTTTGTTTTTCTCTCTCCATCTTACCAATTTTCTCTTTTTCTCTCATATACTCATATTCTCTTTTCTTTCCTCTCAAATTCTTTCCACACACTAATTAATCAATTCTCATAAAAATATCCACTTAGCATAATCACTAATGTCCAAAATACCCTCCAACCTATTTTTACCCGAAACACTCAAAATCGGCAAAAATAGCACAATATGCACAAATTAACACACAATTCCACATTTAAAATAATAATTCAATTAATTAAATCAGAAAGGACTCAAAATAAAGGAAATTCAGAATCGGGGCGTTACAAAGAACGTTGATTTAGAAATGCAGACATTCTAGACTCCACTGCACTCAAAATGCACTAACGCTTCAGTCTTTTGGTATACAATGTTGTAAAAACATATGTGTTTGCAGTCGTATTTATAGAAAAATAAAATAGTACGTGCTCCATATAATATGTCTTAAATACCTTTACAAACTTTATATACTTTAAAATTCAATGGTTAATTAATTTTTATGTTTAAAAATTTATAATTTAAATCAATTTATATGCTTTAAAATTAAATGGTTAACTAATTTTTATTTTATATTTAAATAAATTTGTAATTAAAATTTTAATAATGTTTATAATTTAAAAACAATAAATATTACTTATTCTATAATTATTACTTAAAAACAATAAATTATAATCACAATTATATATTTATTAAACCTAAATTTATAAAATCAATTTAAGTTTATTTTTAATTAAACCCAAATTTATAAAATTAATTTAAGATTATTTTTATTTCCACCTAATTATTTTAAGTTTAGTAATTAAAAACTTTATTTTAACATTACATGAAAAAAATTAAAAATATTAATAATACTTGTGTTTATTATTTAAAAACTTTATTTTAAATATTAATCATAATTATGTTTTAATTATATTATAATAATAATACATTAATTAAAAATAGAAAAACGCAAACCTTAGCATGATCTGTATCGCCATTCCCATTGGCGAGTCTCTTGGCATAACAACAATGTCGCCAATCTGAATGAGTACTTCACTTAACTCCAAAAACAAGCTTGCACTATGTCGCCATTTCATCTAGTGACAGAAAGTTGAATGTGTGCCACTTTGGTTAATGTTTTGAAACTTTTAATATTATGTTAAATTTTAAACAATAGTTGGTTATTATAAAAAAAAATTTCTCAAAGTAAGGTATGGTTCTACATTAAAGAAATTATGTCGAAAATATATTCAAGAAATTTAAGATGGATGATTTCACTCCAACATCTTTGTCTCTCAAACCAAATTTAAAATATATTAAAATAAAAAAAAAATTAAAAAAACAAATAACAAATAACACAAAATACAATAATTTATACCGAACAACGAAGGAAGCATGCAAATCGGCATGAGCAAAGTATATCAGAGAAAATAAGTATATTTTGTTTAATGTATAGGATGAATGTTTTTTTTTTTTTTTTTTTTTTAAATTGTATAAAACATTATAGGAGTAATTGTCAAGTGATGACTATGTTCATGACTCGTGACCATGTTTTACATACACGCTTACGTGACTGTGTAATCTATTGTCGTGCTCATTGGCAATAACTTGTTTACGTCTGGGAGGGACCCTTTGGATTATACGTAATTGATATCGTGTTTTTAATTTGTGTGAGCGTTGATTGATCTTTATAATGTGGTTACACACAGTGTGAACATTCTTATGCATAAACCGTAAACAAAAATTTCTTTGGCAACGTTTTGAAAACTTGATATATTTGACGTAACTTTTAGCTTCTAACTGCTTCATGAAAATTCCATTCCTTCTTTACATATAAAGAAAACACGTACTACTACGTATTTGAAAGAAATTTTTTTTTCATTAGTTGAAAAAATTAATGGATTATTTGTGAGTCATCTTAATAGAAAAGTTTATTAGTTTAATGGTAGTAGTAAGTGTAAAAGTTATCAGACATATATGTGGTTAAAATATTTTAAAGTATCAAATCATATAAAATAATTTAAAATTTTCAAAATTATAAAAGGATAGGACATAACTTATGGTTGTCATTGGTCAGCATCCATTTCCTCAAAGTTTATTTCAAGATAATTTAAATAAAAAGTCTCCTCTAATAAATGTGAAACCTCATATGATTTATCCACAGCCGTAAACAAAAATGGGATGAAACTTCCGTAGCAAGGCAAACAAGTCATATTATTCTCATCATCATTCATGGAATAATTCAAAAAAGCAACCCCGTCCATATACATGGCATCCAAATCCACCTCTATATATAATCCTTCATATCACCAACTTAACAAAGGATGATATCATTTCCCAAACAACTTCTATACCAATTTTTCTCTTCCAAAGAAACAAATTATCAAACCCTAAACTAGCCTATCATCTTTTGCAGAAATGAAAATATTTTGTTTGAATCCTAAAACGCCTTCGTTTTCAATATATCACAACAGATCACCATCCTCAACTGCAAATTCATCCACAACCACAACACCTTCTATTAGAAAAGCCATAGCACGCATAGAAGCAGCAGAAGCGCTTATATCAAAATGGAACTCCGAAACTTCAGATTATGCCAAATTAACTTCTCTTTTCTACGAAAACAAAAACGAAGCGTTTCAATACATTCGCCGTGTTAACCACCTGCAAAGAGCCATGCATTCGTTACTCAAACTAGAGCCTTCGTCGCCAAAACTCATTCACGCACAAAACCTAATGCAAATCGCCATGAAGAGGCTCCAGAAAGAGTTCTACCAGATATTATCCATGAACCAGGCTCACCTTGATTCCGAATCCGTGTCCGTTAAATCCTCTGACACTTCCTTCGGTTCTTACGACGACGGAACAGACGAAAAAGATATTGGAGCTGCAGAGGATCGTATCTCCGAAGTCGAATGCGTTTCATCTGACGTGGTTGATGACTTGAGAATTATTGCTGATTGTATGGTTTCTAACGGTTACGGAAAAGAATGTGTAAAGGTTTACGTTAAAGTGAGAAAATCAATTATTGATGAAGGCATTTATAAACTCAACGTGGAGGAAAGAAGCTTCTCAAACGTGAATAAGATGGACTGGGAAGTTCTTGAGAGGAAAATCAAGAGTTGGTTAGAGGCGGTTAGGATTTCAGTGAAAACACTCTTCGTCGGAGAGAGAAACATCTGCGATCGGATTTTCGCTTCTAGTACTATCAGAGAAGCTTGCTTTGGTAAGATTTCAAGAGATGGAGCTACTCTTCTGTTCCGATTTCCTGAATTCGTTGCTAAGTCAAGGAGATCGGTGCCGGAGATGATTTTCCGAATGCTCGACATGTATGATGCAATCACCGTGCTGTTGCCGGAGATTGAATCGATCTTCTCGTTTAATTCAACCGCTGCTGTTAAATCTCAAGCATACAATTCACAACATCGACTCATCGAGTCAGTAAAGAATATTCTCTCGGAATATGAACACCTAATCCTGAAGAACTGTTCCAAATTGGCTGCGAATTTCGGTGGAGTTCACTCGCTGACGACTCGAACAATGCAGTACCTCACTAAACTTGCAGATTACAACCACGTGCTTTCTGAAATTTTCTTGGACATTCGTTCACCATTGACGTCAGCATTGCCAGAATCCTACTTATACAGTCTAGAATTAGACAACAGCACGACGGATATTGCGACGGGATTTTCTGTTCAAATGACGCGGCTGTTTGAAGTTCTTCTTTCCGAAATTGAAGGAATGTCAAAGCAATGTAAGGATGTATCGTTGTCTTATCTATTTCTTGCGAACAATCTCTGGCACGTAGTGGAAAAGGTCCGTGCGTCGAATTTACAAGACGTTCTTGGGGACGATTGGTTGTTGAGGCACATAGCAAAGGTGAAACGGTTGATGGAGAACTACGAGAGAGTAGCGTGGGATGGGATTTTTTCGTCATTGCCGGAAAATCCAACGCTATCGATGTCAGTGGCGGAGGCGAGGGGAACGTTCATGAAATTCAGTCTGGAATTCGAGAAAGCTTATCAGAAACAGAATTCATTTGTCGGGCCGGAATCGGATTTTCGCAAAGAGATAAAAGCTTCTCTAGCGAAGAAAATTGTCCCTGTTTATCGCGACTTGTGTGATACACATAAGACTATGGCAGGAAGACCCGAGAATGAAATGAATGAATATGTCACTCTTACTCCTGAAGATGTTCAGAACTGCCTGGGGAATCTCTTCTCTGGTGGAAAAGTTTAGAAAGTATTAAAACACTCAAGAATAAAACATATTATAAATTTCACAAATTAAAATATACATGTCATATGAAACAATACGCATCCTGCAAAATGATGTATTAGACACGTAAAGAACGGAAGCATAATAGAATTTTGGTTGGAGTCGTACTCATACCGCTATGAAATGGATACACTACCTGATCCTCCGGCAAGCATGATTATCCATGAGCGGAGCTTGAGATTACCTTATGTCCTTTTTGTGCATGTTCCTTTGTTACTTGAGAAAAAGTTGATGCCATACTGATTTTTATATATTTGTGGAGGAAGTGTAATTTTGTAAGAAAAAATAAAAATGAGTGAGATTATAATACGATTTCAAGAATATTATCTTGAAAAACTTATTTGAACTTTGGTAAATTTTGATCATAAATATGTGAATATTTTTACTATGGGCTAATTCTCAATTATGAATAATATAGATGATTCAATTAGTAAAATAAAAGCAATAACAAATAAATGGATATTTAATAAAATAACAAAAAGAAAAATTTGAATCAAAATTTAAAATGGTAGAAAAATCCCATAATCACACATGTAGTTTCTCGGACACATGTCATTTCTCGGAATAGAATGTGTATCCTTGACTTATCATTGATATATATATGATATTGTTTTTAGGGTTAAATATTTTTGTGTTCTCTAAAATATTTTAAATTTTGTTTTTAATCCTTCAAAATATTTTTTTTAAAGATTATTCCTCATAAATTTTTCGTCCAAACTTTTGGTTTTTCCTGCAACTTAACGACAATTTTTACAACTTAGCAATAAAATAAGCGATGATTTTAGTGATAATTTATTACCCGGCATCTGAATTAGCAATAGTTTTAACGACGGTTTTAGTATTAAGGACAAAAAATGTGGATGAAAAATTTCATAAGGACCATTCTTTGAATAAAATATTTTAAGAGACTAAAAACGAAACTTTAGATATCTTGGAGAAACACAAATATATTTAACTCTTATTTTTATATACGATTGATTATAAGAGAATGGTCATTACTTACAATGCAAATAATTGATCATGCCTAACAAATATCGTTTCCTTAATACATTTCCCTAATCGAATACTTATAAAAAAATTTCAGATTGAACAAATAACCAACGATCAAAAGTAGTAAACATAAAACTATTTGATCTTGACTAAATCACACACTTATACTCTTAGTCTTAGTATACAAAGTGACTTTTGCTTCGGTTTGGTCATCGCATTTACAAGTTAATTTTTTGAGTTGCAATGAGACAACTTTATCATTCCGTCTCTTATGAGATTTCTTAGAAAATAAAATTTGACATCAATATGTTTGCATCTGTCATGCATTATAAGATTCTTTGAATGCTCGATGGTTGAACTATTGTCACATAATATGATTGTGTCATTCCTTTGTGTTTGTCCCAATTGAGGAAGAACTTTTTCGAGCCAAATTCTCTTACATGCACATGATACATCTACCAAAAACTCTACTTCAATATTGGATAGAATGATTATATGTTGCTTCTTTCATGACCATGAGTTGGTGCTCGAGGCAAGCATAACCACATAAACATATGTACTTTTCTAAGGATGATAATGGATAAGATTTGGGTAGGGTATTTGTTGCTTGAAAATGTGTTACAATCAAGTATGCGTGTTTGTTATAAAGTAGTAAGTGATAAAATGTAAGGATATTGTACCCATAGAAAGTGGAAGTAACTTATGTCGATTTTGCAAGTAACCATCTTTGAAAATTAGGCATGAGCAAGATTAAAAAGAATAGTTGATTGTCACAAGTTCAATTTTCCTTATATCAATATCTTAACATTGCAGAGAGAATGCTAGGAATATATTAAGAGAATGTAAGTTGAGCTATGATGTAACACCCTAACTATCCTTGCGTGATTTATAATAAAAATCAGATTAATTTAAACATTTAGACAATTAGGATGTTACAATTCAACATCAACCTGTTCATACCGTCAGATATGTAACACATGCCACTTTGAAAAATTATTAACAATTATAGTAATAATAGCATTAATCAAATAGTCAAACTTCAACTTTTATTAATAGCAGCAGAACATCAACCAAATAATTATTTCAATAATCCAACATAATCGTGACATGACTAAATCAACGGAATTATCAAATATGAAAGCTACACATAATAGTCTCCATAAAATATAAAACAAGAAACAACGTTCTATCCCCCTCCCCCCCCCCCCCCCCCCCACCAGTGTTACACATCAAAGCAGACGCTAACTCAACAAGGAAAAAGGAAGAACACTCTCTTCCACTCACATCCACGCCTCTACTGCGGATTATCTGCACGGTGCCCATGTAAAAGCATCATTCAAATAGAAGGGGTGAGAAATCATAAATATATAAAGAATTGCAATTACATGTAAGCACATTGATATTACATACAAAATCACCCAATCCACAGTTCACACCTCATAGAAATTCACACATACAACAATGCAACATATATGCAAATGTAATGAGAATCTATCACGACTCAATGCATGTGGTACCAAATAGTGAACTCTCAGGTTCACTCACTCCAATCCCCACCTAGGAGCAGAGAACACCAAAATTGTTACCATCACCATAGGAATTAGCTACTCGCGCCCAACCCATCACCATAGGAATTAGCTACTCGTGCCCAACCCATCATCATAGGATTGAGGCTCACTAAAGCAGACCATCGTTCAACACCATGATGCACGAAACATAATAGACATGCAACCACAACAACAAGTACATTAACATTCACCTTAATTAATATACTCCGCCATACTGGCCACCAACATTCCAAAACACATGCTATAACATTCTAGCAACAACAACAGAATAATATATCTGCAACAACAATGCGTTCACGCATATTTCACACTACAACATAAACACTACACATCATCTAGTACCATCATGAAGCAGTTAAATCAATTCCAGGTACTGCAATTATTTTAAAATAAATTTCATCACGTCAGCTTCCTAACGCTTCAAACAAAAATTGAATCGGACACTCGGAACTCAAGATACAATTTTTCAAAGTTTTACAAATTTTCTTCCTAATGTAACTGGTTACACCAAATGCAGTAATTGGTTCTACCCTATAACCACACCACTGCCTAGCTACTGTTTCATAGTGTAATCGGTAACACCATTTCTAATAATCGGTTATACTCCCTCAATTCATCCAAAAAATGCAAATTTTCAACAGTGTAACCGGTTACACCAATCTTGATAACCAATGAAACCTGTAGCAGAAGCACTTTTCTGCAACTTATTAGTACGATTTTTTTTCAATCCATCATAAAATCCCACTTTTCAAACAAATAAATTACCATATTTTTTCACACAAAAATTGTAACACCCCCTTTCTATACCCCCAAATAAACAATTAAATCACATAATAAAACTTCATCAGAGTAAATTTGAAACATGGTATAAAAGAGATATGTCACATCATCACTAAATTAACATACAACAGCTGCTCGATAAAAGACATGTAACAGTGGGGTAGCTCAACAGAGGAACTTAGTCCTTACACCCACATCTCAATATTTAGAATTAAAACGGAAAATCTAAACGTTGAATCACTTAAAACATGTAATCATATAAATACATATTATTCAGTTTGATTCACCACATCGTTCATGTTTACATAAACATTTACCATCAGATACATATACAAAATGTATCCCAAAAGAATATTATACAATCCTAACTACCCGATGCTATATATCAGAGCATAACCGACCAAAAGAATGAAGTTATACTTCACAAAAGACTTCCATCAACACTAATCTGCAATGCCTCATAGAGCATTATATAACACCAGAAGGGTGAGAAATATTATCATAATAATCAATGTATATATATATATATATATATATATATATATATATATATATATATATATATATATATATATATATATATATATATATATATATATATATATATATATATATATATATATATATATATATATATATATATATATATATATATATATATATATATATATATATATATATATATATATATATATATATATATATATATATATATATATATAGAGAGAGAGAGAGAGAGAGAGAGAGAGAGAGAGAGAGAGAGAGAGAGAGAGAGAGAGAGAGAGAGAGAGACACACACACACACACATAAGCATAGAATAGACATATTCCACATTTCTCACCATAATTCATTCATAACTCATCATACATCTCACAACATGTATAAACACATATGGATAATCACAAAACATGTTTCATCATGCACATATCCATAGTTCTCAACTCAACAATCCACAAACAAGCATAATTCATATAACAATGATATCTATGCTATGTGACCCAACACAACTCACTCAATGCAACTCATGCCATGTGTTACCAACACTTGTTATCATTTTTCGGTTTTTACACTTAAACCGGGTCCACTCTTCTAGACTGATAACAACAAAAGCCCGTCCTCTAAGCTTTCAAACCCACTCTTCTAGGCTTGAGAGAAGTCACTAGTCTCCACGAAACTAGCAAACATTGCCTCTTGACTAAATGATGCATATGCATTCAACGACCAAATGCACTTAAGACCGTTCTCACATCTTAATCTTATGCATTCTCAATAATTCATCACATACGAATTATAACATGATTGCACACACAACATATTCATTTTTCAATACCATCAATATATTTATCAAGCAATGCACACATATTCACAATATGTTCTCATGCATTCTTCACATACCATCGTATACAAATAATATGCATTCACAATTCAATATCATCACCATATTTATCAAGCAATGCACACATATTCACAATATGTTCTCATGCATTCTTCATACATTTTTAATTAACTTAAACAATATATTATATTTACCTAGCGAATACTTCGTTATCTGTTCGCCTAGCGAACAAGCTCGCGAAAGCAAACAGAAGCTACTGACTTTGTTCGCTTCCTACTCACTGCAG